TTCGCTCGAAGTGTGGTTTTCCTGATGAGGTTGAACTGTTACTTCCTCAGGTTCACGAGAGAGTGACCACACCCCTAGAGTGTTATTTCTGCTCGTATGTGTGTCATTTTGCGGAGTTCGGCCTTCAGTTTCCGATCTCGCTGCTGATTCGTTATTTCGAACGGAGGAAGATGCCGGTGGGGCAGCTCACCCACGCCGTAATCCACCATTTTAATAGCTTGGCGGCGGTGGCTCGTGCGGCCATGGTTCCCTTTAACTGGGACATTTTTGAGAGGGTGTCCATCCTGAAGAGAGGAAGGGTGAATCGCGGCGGGTGGCGCCATTTTTACACCATGATGAAGGAGGAAATCAAAGGTGGCGACCCGACGAGCAAGGTCCACGAATGGGATCGATTTTTTTTTTTTGTGAAGATTAACAAAGCATCCATCGGTGGTTCCGATCTTACCCTCTTCAGAGCTTGGAGATCGGCACCATGTAAGGAGAATGGAATATTGATTTTTTTTTTTTTACTTTGTTTAATGACTCGCTGGGTACTAATGTGTATTTGCCATTATAGTGGAAATACGTCTGGGAGATGACCCAATCGGGTTTAGTGAAGACGTCAAGAGGCTGCGCGACCTGAGCCGGCGATTATGGGCCGATAAAGAGAAGAAGGGACTGCTAGAAAGAAGGCGGTTAAGCCTGCGGAGAAGAAGGCCAAACCCTCGAAAGCAGGTAGGTTGCTAAATTAGAACAATATTGACTGGTGCTCGATTTTATTGACGCGATTATCATTTTAGCTTCGCGAGGGGTTTCGCAACCGAAGCCTGCGGAGGCTGGTCGGAGAAAGAGGAAGGCAACTTCGGCCGATGTCGCAGACGCGCCCGTGAGTGCTTCTGCAAAGAAGAAGAAGACGACTTCCCAGGATCCACCTAGCTTTGTGGATTCAGATGACGCCGAAGTGGCTGCTGAGTCCGAGACTCTGGCGAGGTAATTTTCTCAGCTTCGCGCGTTATTATATTATGCCGAAGAGATTTCTGACGCTACATTGCTTCTGTCCCCCCCCCCTCCCCTCACTTTTTATTTTTAAAGTTTCTCTGGGGCGGCAGCGTTGGAGAGATTGAGGCGGATGCAGGCTGAGAAAGCCGCAAAGGATTTGCAGGGTGAGGCATCCCATACTCCCACCTCTCAAGTCGCGGATGGAGAGGGTGCTTCAGATGCTGCCGGGAGCCATCGCGAGGTCGTTTCCCTCTCAGTCGATGCTCCATCGTTTCCTCATGTGGATGTTCGTTCACCGCCTCGGACAGGTGTGTCTCAAAGCCCTGAGACATATGTCACAGAAGATGTGGGTCGGGAGAGGACCGAGGAGCCCAACGCAACTTATTCGGAAGGGCCGACCCCTCCCGAGGTTGCTATGGACACGGAAGATGCTGGTCCTAGCGCTACTGAGGAGGCTGCTCCTTCTCAAAAGGACGCTGGCACAGAAGGAGCCAATTCAAGCGCTCCGGCCGAACCTAAGCAGGAGGAGGAGTTTTTTTATTACAATCCTCATCATCTTTGCATGAGATGGCACAGGAATACTCCAGCGATGCTTAATCGCGAGTTTGCTGCAGACTTGATCTGGATGTGCAGAGAGAAGCCGCGATGGGGTAAGCCACTTCGCGAGTTAAAGCTGGTGAATTTGATCTCCTCGGTGAGCCAATTGATAGCTCAGGTAATTTTATTTATCCGATGATTGTGCTATCCATCTTCTTCCCCTTTTTTTTTGGTGCGTTTCTTATAGTATGTTGCAATACAGGGTCTGGGAAAATATATGTCCGCGTTTGCTGCGTACGACGATAACTGGTGCGAGGAAGAAGCGATGGTGAACACTGCATGTTCCGAGATCAAGGAGCTTAAAAAGGTGGAGGAAGAGAATCGGCTTCTCAAGGAGCGGTGTGCTCAACTGGAGGGCGCCGTTGATACTTTCAAGGACGAGGTGTCTGAAGCTAATCGACTTCGCAAGCAAGTTGCCACTCTCCAAGCGCAAAATAAGCTTCTCGAAAAGCGGAATGAAGAGAGTTTGTAAGGATTCCTTGCCGAGAAGGAGAAGCTTCAAAAAGCTTGTGAGGGAGCTGCTCGAGATGCCGCCAACAAAGTTTTTGATGACATGTCTGCTTGGTTTAAGCCGCGTTTAGATCGGATTCAAGCCTCGCTGGTTCAGCGCAAAGAGGTGGAAGCAGCCCTCGTCGGTGTGGAAAAAAGTAGCCATATGGTGGCTTTCTTAAAGAAGATGCAAGAGAAAGGGTGGGAGCTTCCTGCCGGGACCCTTCTGTCTTTTGAGAGGAAGTTCGCCAAGTGGAAGGCAGCCTGCGGGATTTTTTATTGTATTTATTCTTTTGTAAGAATTTTTTGTAAGAATATTTGCCTAAGATGGCTTATTATTCCCTTAATGAAAAGGTTTTTGTAATTGCTTTTTATCGTTCTTCGTTGTTTTTTTTTACTTGTGATGGAAATTTTTAGTTCAAAAGTAGAAGCGGGATTCCTTTGCCCGTCTTACACCAAACGACGATCAAGATCGAATACTAATTTTTTCAAGATTCACTTTGACCTGAAAGGTATGATCGAGGGTCGTGCGAGTATTGTCCTCGACTTTCTTCTTATCCGCTTCGGAAGTATTTAAATCGAACTGAAACATCAAAGGAGTGGTGATCAGCCACTTATTTTGTTTATTGTGCTTGCTTTTTCGAGTCAAATGTTTGGCCGGAACATCGACTCAGCAAGATGCATTTGCATAAAGAAACTTGACTCTATACGCCGAGCTGATTTTTTGAAATATAAATTTATTAGATTTACAGCTGCACCCGAAGGTTGCCTACGTACCCGAACCGGAATCAAGCCCGTTCGTAGTTCATTACAAGTATTGAATGAGTTGTATCACTCAGGGGCTGAGCCCGGTTTTATTGTCGAGTCTTCGTCGCTTTATTTAGCGTCTTCAAGTGCTTTTGCCGTGGAGAGTCGCACTTTGCGTTCTCTGATGAAGCAAGATCTTGCCATCTGTTGATCCCCGCGAAGCGTGAAGACTCCCGCCGAAGTGACGAATTTCATGCATTGATGATAAGTCGACACAATTGCTTTCATCTCGTGGATCCACGGTGTGCCAAGTATGGCATTGTAGATTGCTGGTTTGTTCACCACCGTAAATTTAACGATTTTTGTCACGCCGCCGACATAGACCATGAGTCGTAGGGTGCCGAGGCTGAAGAAAGATTCACTGGCAAAGCCAGTTAAAGGCTTCGGTGCTGCCTTGATGTCTTTGTCCTGGAATCCCATCTTAGTCAACGTATCTTTGAAGATGATGTTGACCGTGCTGCCGGTGTCCACCAAGATTTTGGTAACCTCGCTGTCGTGGATATGTAGTTTGACCACCAGTGGGTCGTTATGCGGGGTGTGTAACCCGTGCATATCCTTCGATGTGAAGGTGATCGTAGGGTGATAGACCACGTGGCGAGGGAATTTTTGCGATGCGACTGATTTTCGTCCGTACTCTTCGATGGCACGGACCGAGTCATCGCAGTCGAGGAGTCCTCCCATGATCATATTAACCCATCGCTTCGGTGGAGGAGGCGGGTTTTCGTGTTCTCCTTCGTCGTTCTAACGCTCTGCTTCCTTCTCCTTCTCCTTTTCTTCGTGTCTTCTTTCGGGCGTGCGACTTCGGCGCCTTTCTCCAGAACTGCCTCGACTGCTGCTTTTTCCCGGATCCCTGCGATCCCGGGTGGAAGTGGATTGACACGAGTCCCTGGGGTTTGAACTGCGTGAGTAGAAGCTTTTACTCCGAGATCGATCACCTCCGATGTTGATTTTGCCTTCTTTGTATTGTTCATACAGTGTATTGTGGAGGTGTCGGCAGGCCAAAGTAGCGTGTCCTGTTTGTCCGTGAAAGGAGCAGTAGAGGTCGTGATTATCGTCCCTATCGCTTGTGCTCCTTGGGGGGTCTCTTAAGGCCCACTGATGCCAGGGCTTCTCTGTGGTTGCTACGACAGCGTGGGAGGAGGGCTTGCTTTTACTCGCGGGCTCTTTATCTTTTGAAGTGCTTGCCGTGTCCAAGCCGTGTTTCTTGGCATAGAATGTTTTCTCCTCCTCCATCCGTATGAAGGTCTGGGCCCAATGAAGTGCGTCCTCTATGGTTTCTTTCGGGTGTTTCTGTAGATCTTCTTTAAAAGAAGATTCATACCACAGACCGTTCATGAGTGCCTTGATGGCTAAAGCTTGATGGATTTGCCCGTATGCCGCAGCGGCGTTCTTAAATTTTTTGATGAATTCGCGAAGTGGTTGGTCGCGCTCTTGCACTAGAGTGAACAGGTTGACCGTCCTCTTCGTGGTGAACATGGAATAATGTTTGATGAAGGCGTAAGTCAGATCCTTGAAGGATTTGATCAAGGCCGTGGTGAACATGAAATTAATTGGCAAGCAAGTTGGGTTGTGGTTGAGAGTTATTGTGGTTGATTACTTTTTGCCCCTCATATGAAAAGACTTCAATTACCCTTAATGAAAATTAATACTTTTAATAAAAATTATAAAAATTATAAAAATCATCAAATAATCTCTATCATATGTCGATAAAATAGAAGCCCTAAATAATCTCTCACCCATTCAACATTATAATATATTTTTATTTAGAATCTTTAGGTCACGCTACTTTCCCTCATCTTAATTTACTTTAACAATCCTTAATAAAATTATTAATTAAATTAAACTACGCGATTGGTTTGGTTTTGAAGGGGTTTTGTGTTATTTAATATCGATATGGTTTGGTATGTTTCAATGGATCGATAAATGATATGTGACTTGGGCCATTATGTTTACTAAAACCCTAGATTATAAAACCTTAGATTATAAATTATATATAAATGCCTCCGACCTGTTTGAGTATTTATGTTATATCTATGGTCTGGCCGTTGTGTTTCTTGGGAAGGTTTAAAGGTTTTGGTTGTAGTGGTTCCGAATCATGTGTTTTGTTTTACTTAACTTTTTGATTAGGTGTCGAGAACATAGAGAGAAAAAGAATCGGAAGGAAAAACTTTCGAAAAGTGATTCAAATTTGTTTGAGAGTCTGTATTTGTTTGTTTAGTTTGATCTAATCTATAGCCAATCGAAAAAGAAGCTGAATAGGAAGAATATGAGGAATGAAGCTGAAGTAATTTGCATAAAAGGTATTTACTACTTTATATCTCTCCCCGCTTAGGCTTGATCATTATGTTTCGATTACCAATTTATTATCTATTATGTTATTTCGTTTCCCTATTGTCTGTTGATATCTTCCACTCTTGGAAGCATCAGATAATGTTTACTTTCTATGTTTTTTCATATATTTAGTTCATTGCTTTCTTTTAAATCTTCATTTATTTCTATATTATGATATTTCTTTCGCTTTGCTCTGACAAAAGTTGTATTATATCATCGTGAGTATTTAATTTGGTTTTTCTTTATGTGAGTTCATCTTAGTATTTATAATTTAAAAAGATTCTGTTTGCAATTATATCACCATGTTCTATAATGAAGTTTTTAAATTACTATAGAAAATTCAAATCTGATTTGAATTTCTTATTTTGTAAAGAAAGGCCTCTCACTTGATTTGCTGCTAATCTCCGCGCCTCTCTTCCTCGAACTTCAGTTTACGTTCTTTATCTCTCCATTAAACAGAGTTGTTGAAAGTTAAGTGTCAAGGGCAGATACTAACAAATCACTAATCAATTAATCATTAGTTGATGTTTTTGTAATCTTTGTTCGCATAATCCCGACTCAAACTATATTATCTGATCTGAAATCTTTTTTTAGGTTGCATGGTGGGATAGTTCTTTACTCACAAAAAAATATAATTAGTGAGTGTTTGATTTATGTTCAATACCTTTGCACTGTGTTTTGTTTGATCACGACTGTTTTTTAATGTGTGTTTTGCTCTTTTGATTTGATGGTTATTCGTTATTCATGATGTTTTCTCGCATAAACCTGATTCTAAACAGATTTTGTGATTTAAAATGTGTGTTTCCCATTATTTGGGAATGGAATGTCAAACAGAATGTGGGAAAAATCGGTGGAGCATGCAAGTGAAATTGTGATTTGTTTCTTTGTTTCTTATTATTTTTTACTCACTTTCTAATTAATTCTCTCTGTTTCATTTGGTCAGTCATCACTTTCCAGGCATCGAACATGATCATGAAAGATGTGGTTGCCTCCACGCTGCTCTCCACTGGTTTGTTTGCCACTACGTTCACAAGCTGAGGTGGCAACCCGATTCAGACACTTTTGAGGTTGATATGATGACTTGGCTTGCCACATTTACCCCAAAGACACTGTAATTCTCAGACATACGTTATCGAGACACGTAAATGCCGTTAGTGAGATTCAAAGTGGAAGGGAATTACTACTTTTTGGATGCAGAGCATAGCTCCATTAATCTCGTAATGAGAAGGTTTTTCTCATAAGTGCAAGATTGAGAAGAAAGATAGGAAAATAGCCTTATTTTTTATCAGGAAGTGTAATTAACTATATAGTTAAAAAAATGTATATAAAATTTTGGTTTCTTGATCGGGTTATTTATTTTGTTCTCTCTGATTTTAAACAATTAGCATGGATATCAAAATCTGATTGCCACTCTTAAGTTTCGTTAATTTAGGAATACATCTTCCCCAAATTCAGTTTTTTTTTTATGCTTCCAATGAGGTTTGTTTGATTTATGTTTTTCTTTGGTTTACTTCAACTATTGTTGAATTGTAAAACTTATAATCATTGGAGAAAACTAAAACTCAAAAAACAAGAACATCATATCATTAATTAAGAAGCAAATTGGACTGTATGTGAAAATTATTATGTTTAATAAGTTTGGTTTAAGAACAATTATACTAAATAACAAAAATTAATATATTTTAAGTAGTTTTGTCGAAAAGTAATTAATCTTAATAAATTGAATATATATATATATATTTATGGTTATATCTTGATTTAGATTAATTCAAAAATGATATTTTTATTTTATTTGTAAAGATAAAAATGTATCTATATTTATCGGATTATAAAAAAAAAATGGTATAAACTCCAAATTTTTATTCCTATAAATAGTGTAATGTATTTGCTACTTTATTTCATATCATTTTTTAAATTTAGAAATTTTGTTATTTGTTTGTTTTCTTTGAATTTGATAAAACAAAAATTCATAGAAAATTGACAAGTTATTGGATTATTTATTCATTTTGATGTTTTTATAGTACTCTAATTTTATAAGAATAATTTTCAAATTGTATAAAAATAATTTTCTTTTTTTCTTATACACAAAATTTTAGTATAATTAATTTATTATATTTATATCATAATTAATGTATTAATAATATTAAAAGTGATTTATCTGCGCAAGGCGCGGAAGACCACCTAGTAATATCATAATAGCAATAAGTTCTCTTGAATACAAATTGGATTTAATATCTATTAGGGATAAATGTAAATCTTAGAAATAAGTATATTTTCCATTTAGTGATAAGGATAGTTTTCTTAAGATAAATGCAACTAGAAGCCGACATTCTTTTGTATAAATACTTTGGTTTGTCAATAATAATAACACAAGTCGACTGTTATCAAACTCCACATGGTATCAGAACAAAATATTCAATAGACCTAAAATATAATTTCTTAAATTTCTTGTTGTTTAAGTTTTTCTTCTTAACCGTTCATCATGTCTGGTGGCAAAATTACATCGGGTACTCCAAAGCCTGTGGCAGAGAAGGTGGACGAAGGCGTATTAGTGTTGCCATATTTGTTGTACGTTTATGATAATACTGGTGCAATGATTACTTCTGTTCAGTTGAATAGTGATAATTATAACGAGTGGTTTTCGGAGTTACTTAATGCACTTCAAGCGAAGCGCAAATTAGGTTTTATCAATGGCACATTGACGAAACCCGGAGCTGACAGCCTTGACCTAAAAAATTGGCTAGATGTCAACTCTATGATTATTTGCTGGATATGTGTGTTCATAGCGCCAAAATTTAAGTCCACCGTGACTTACATCACTGACGCTCACTTGTTGTGGAAGAATCTCAAGCAACAGTTCTCAGTCGGCAATATGGTGTGTGTTCATCAAATCAAAGCTCAGCTTATGTCATATTTGCAAGATGGACAGTCGGTGTTAGACTATTTCAAACGATTTTCTATGCTGTGGAAGGAATTGCAGGTTTATCAAACGGTTCATGTGTTTCTTGTGGTGGAGCAAAAACCATAGCAACCGAACGCGAACATGAAAAAATTCATCAATTCATTCTAGGTCTTGACGATTCAAGATTTGGCAGTCTCTGTACCAACATCATTGGTACTTATCCTCTTCTCATACTCGCAGAAGTTTACAACAAGATCATCCGTGAAGAATAGCGCCTCTCCTCCGTGTGACATTTGTTTTAGAGCAAAATAAACTCGTGAAGTGTTTTATGATAGTTCAAATAAAACGACATAATGTTTTACCCTTATTCATGTTGATGTTAGGAGTCCATATCATGTTCCTTCTTCCTACGGTGCAGTTTATTTCTTAACCATAGTTGATGACTTCTCTAGAGTCGTGTGGATGTTTTTGTTGCTAGAAAAGTCAGAAGTCAAGTGTGTTCTCTCAAACTTTATCGTTTACTCCGAAAAGCAACTTGGTAAATCTGTTAAGACAGTTTGTAGTGACAATGGGACTGAGTTCATGGTCCTTCGTTTTTTAAAGACAACGACATCATCCATCAAACAAGTTGTGTTGCCACACCACAACAGAATGGTCGTGTTGAAAGGAAACATAGACATATTCTTAATGTTTCCAGGGATCTTATGTTTCAGGCAAATCTGCTTATCAAATATTGGAGTGAGGCTATACTTATCGCTGCATTTTTAATCAATCGGACACCATCTTATATTCATCCGGGATGATCTTTATATGAGATCTTACATGGCGTTGCTCCTGATTACAAACAATTACGAGTTTTTGGTTCTGCTTGCTACGTTCATCGAGTTGCTCGCGATAAAAAAAAATTTGGACCACGCAGTCGTCTTTGTGTCTTTATCGGATATCCATTTGGCAAGAAGGACTGGAAGGTTTATGATATGGAACAGGGCGAGTTTTTGATATCTCGCGATGTCGTCTTCTGTGAGGATGTTTTTCCGTTTTTGTGACAACAGATTCCAACATCTCTCTCCTCTCTTCACAAGTCGAGATTGATGAAGATTGGCTATCTACACCAGTCGTAAGGGGGAGCAACATTGCACCTTCCCCTGTTCCTTCTTCTTCCTCTGTTTTATCACCTATTACAGAGGATATTTTTCCACCTACAGAGCACCCTACTCCAAAGGCTGAGCTGTCTACGACTACTGCATCAGAGCAAACTATTCTGGAGGTTGAGTAATATAAGACTCATACGACTACTTCATCAATTGAGCAAGCTGAATCTCTTATGGCTACTGCATGGATTGAGCAAGCTGTGTCTCCTTCGACTACTGCATCAGTTGACCAAGATGAGCCTCCGCTCGTGTCTGACGACCAGTTGGGACGTGGATTCTCTCAGAAACTTGAATTGGTTAAGCTTAAGGGCTTTGTCACCGACAATGCAACATGTACACCCATCACTACTCACGCTCTTTCACCCTACAATATTCAGTCCTCAACGGTCCCACGTAAATGTTTTTATCCTCTCTCTGATTTCATTAGTGATGATCAGTTCTCTTCAGGACATTGGGCATACTTACCTGCAATTACGGCTGCGGTGGAACCTAAACACTTTAAAGAAACCATTTATGGGACAATGCAATGAATACCGAAGTTGTCGCTCTTCAAGGGTAATACACTTGGGATATTACAGATCTTCCACCTGGTAAAGTCGCAATTGGGAGTCAATGGGTCTACAAAATAAAATATTATGCTGATGGTTCTGTGGAAAGGTACAAGGCACTTCTTGTTGTTCAAGGCAACAATCAAGTTGAAGGCAAAGACTACAATGAGACTCTCGCTTCGGTGGTGAAAATGACAATGATGCGTACAATTTTGCGTCTTATTGCGTCCAAGGGATGGGAGGTCTACCAAATGGATGTCAGCAATGCGTTTTTTCATGGTGATCTCAATGAGGATGTTTATATGATGCTTCCTCCAGGTTTTCTTCATACTCATCCGGGCAAAGTGTGTCATCTTCGCAAGTCTCTCTGTGGGCTTAAGCAAGCTCCTCGGTGTTGGTTCAAACATTTCTCTGATTCTCTGCTTAAGTTTGGATTTGTTCAGTCATATGAGGACTACCCTCTGTTCTCTTATACCTACGCTAATATAGAGCTCTGAGTCTTGGTATATGTCGACGATCTGCTGATTTGTGGCAATGACAAATACATGCTACAAAAGTTTAAAGAGTATTTTAGCTGATGTTTGTCGAAAGATTTGGGAAACTTAAAATATTTCCTAGGCATTGAAGTTAGCCGTGGACCAGAAGGGGTTTTTCTTTCCCAACGCAAATACTCTATGGACATCATTGCTGAAACTGGGAATTTCGGGTGTCGCCCAGCATCAACTCCACTCGAGCAGAATCATTCGTTGGCCACTAAAGCTAGTCCTCTGCTTGACGATCCAAAGAAGTATCATCGTCTCTTGGATCGTCTTATCTATCTCCTCAACACACGACCATAATTGTGTTATTCAGTTCACACATTGTCTTAGTTTATGAAAGCTCCAACAGTTGCCCAATGGGATTCTGCCTTACGTGTTGTGCGATTCCTCAAGGGATCACCTGGCCAAGGAATACTTCTTAAATCCGATAAAGATCTCTCTTTAACTGTGTATTGTGACGCTGATTGGGCAAGTTGCCCGTTGACTCATCGTTCCTTGAGTTCTCGTGTCGTTATGCTTGGTGGCTCACCAATTTCATGGAAGACAAAGAAGCAACATACAGTCTCGCATTCTTCCGCTGAAGCCGAGTATCATTCAATGGTCGCTGCTCTTAGGGAAACTAAGTCGATTCGCCCAGGGGCGAATCTAGAAGATTTATTTAGTGGGTGCATAAATGGCAAGAAAATAAAAATATGGATTTGTTCATGAATTAATAGGGGTGCACAAAACAAATTTAACCAGTTTAGCAAAGAAATATCTTTCAATTCCTATGTAAAATTTTAAATGTCCAAAACATTACGGGTGCACGTGCTGCCATACCTTATATGCTGCATTCGCCCCTGGATTCGCAAACATATCGAGTCGGATTGTCATTCACTCCGTGATGCAATCCGCAATGGAATTATTGTGACAGAGCACATTCTAACGAATGATCAGATTGCTGACATTCTCACAAAAGCTCTTGGCCAAGCT